TGCTCTGGAGCAGGATCTGCCGGTGCTTGTGGTTATGCTTGTGAGAGCGCTTGTGGTTATGCTTGTTGCGTGATTGTTGGGTGCTTGTGGGGGTGGTGGGAAGTTTGTGGTTGTCCTTTAAGCTAATCTTGTTGGGTCACTTATGGGAGTACATGTGCATGCACATGTATTTGAGGATGTGAGGGTGTTAGGGTGCTTGTTGGTTTATGGTAGGGCTACATGTGCACGTTAGCACAGTACAACACTCCCTGCATAAATACTGTGATGTTAGCACAGTACAACACTCCCTGCATAAATACTGTGATGCTAGCACAGTACAACGCTGCCTGCATAAATACTGTGATGTTAGCACAGTACAACACTCCCTGCATAAATACTGTGATGTTAGCACAGTACAACACTCCCTGCATAAATACTGTGATGTTAGCACAGTACAACGCTGCCTGCATAAATACTGTGATGTTAGCACAGTACAACACTCCCTGCATAAATACTGTGATGTTAGCACAGTACAACACTCCCTGCATATAATTATACTGTGATGTTAGCACAGTACAACTCTCCCTGCATAAATACTGTGATGTTAGCACAGTACAACACTCCCTGCATAAATACTGTGATGTTAGCACAGTACAACACTCCCTGCATAAATACTGTGATGTTAGCACAGTACAACGCTCCCTGCATAAATACTGTGATGTTAGCACAGTACAACTCTCCCTGCATAAATACTGTGATGTTAGCACAGTACAACACTCCCTGCATAAATACTGTGATGTTAGCACAGTACAACACTCCCTGCAGAAATACTGTGATGTTAGCACAGTACAACACTGCCTGCATAAATACTGTGATGTTAGCACAGTACAACACTGCCTGCATAAATACTGTGATGTTAGCACAGTACAACACTCCCTGCATAAATACTGTGATGTTAGCACAGTACAACACTCCCTGCATAAATACTGTGATGTTAGCACAGTACAACACTCCCTGCATAAATACTGTGATGTTAGCACAGTACAACACTGCCTGCATAAATACTGTGATGTTAGCACAGTACAACACTCCCTGCATATATACTGTGATGTTAGCACAGTACAACACTCCCTGCATAAATACTGTGATGTTAGCACAGTACAACACTCCCTGCATAAATACTGTGATGTTAGCACAGTACAACACTCCCTGCAGAAATACTGTGATGTTAGCACAGTACAACGCTCCCTGCATAAATACTGTGATGTTAGCACAGTACAACGCTCCCTGCATAAATACTGTGATGTTAGCACAGTACAACACTCCCTGCATAAATACTGTGATGTTAGCACAGTACAACACTGCCTGCATAAATACTGTGATGCTAGTACAGTACAACACTCCCTGCATAAATACTGTGATGTTAGCACAGTACAACACTCCCTGCATAAATACTGTGATGTTAGCACAGTACAACACTCCCTGCATATATACTGTGATGTTAGCACAGTACAACGCTCCCTGCATAAATACTGTGATGTTAGCACAGTACAACGCTCCCTACATAAATACTGTGATGCATTCATGAACCACTTTACAATCAATGAAGAACTACGCCGACACCCGCGGTCAACTGGGTACTCACTACTTAGAGCGAGGGTAGCATAGATGCAGCTAACGAGGTTCGCCCCCTCATCGGGCATTGCACCACCTCACCCTCACCGTTTATGGCACTGCATCTGACACCCTGATATAATCAATCATGGTGATGGCCTGGCACGAGTGAAACTTCTGTAAGCTGGTCGTGTTTCTCAACACAATCGTAAGCCGGTGGTAACGCGGATGTGCAAACTTTACTTTTGTTGTTTACATGTACATGTGCATATACATGTGAAGGTGCTCGTGAAGGTTCTTGTCTTGTTGCTTGTCTTGTTGCTTGTCTTGTTGCTTGTGTTGGTGCTTGTAGGCGTATTTCCGGGGGGGGGGGGGATGCTTGTGTTGGTGCTTGTAGGGGTATTTCCGGGGGGGGGGGGGGGGGGTGTGTGCTTGTGTTGGTGTTTGTAGGGGTATTTCCGGGGCGGGGGGTGCTTGTGTTGGTGCTTGTAGGGGTATTTCCGGGGGGGATGCTTGTGTTGGTGTTTGTAGGGGTATTTCCGGGGCGGGGGGGTGGGGTAGTGCTTATGTTGGTGCTTGTAAGGGTATTTTCGGGGGGGTGCTTGTGTTGGTGCTTGTAAGGGTGTTTCCGGGAGGGGGGGGGGTGCCTGTGTTGGTGCTTGTAAGGGTATTTCCGGGGGGGGGGGGTGCTTGTGTTGGTGCTTGTAGGGGTATTTCGGGGGGGGGGGGGTGCTTGTGTTGGTGCTTGTAGGGGTATTTCCGGGGGGGGGGTGCTTGTGTTGGTGCTTGTAGGGGTATTTCCGGGGGATCTTGTGTTGGTGCTTGTAAGGGTATTTCCGGGGGGGGGGGGGGGTGCTTGTGTTCGTGCTTGAATTTTCCGGGAGGGGGTGGGAGGGGGTGTGCTTGTGTTGGTGCTTGTAGGGGTATTGCCGGGGGGAGGGGGTGTTTGTGTTGGTGCTTGCAAGGGTATTTCCCGGGGGGGGGGGGGGGAGTAGGGTGCTTGTGTTTGTGCTTGTAGGGGTATTTCCGGGGGGGGGGGGGGGATGATGCTTAGGGCCTGGCGGATAATGCTTGGAAAAGTAGTGTGTTCTGCTCGACATTCTGGTCGTATTCTGCCGGTATTGTGCCCCATTCTGCTCGTATTCTGCCGGATTCGACGGACCAAGCTTTAACCCATTCAACGCTAAAGACGTATATGTCTTTTTCAATGCCAAATAAGGAGTGCAGAGCCTGAGTTGAACCATATAACCCTCCGGCAACGGCTCTTCCTGCTCCGCTGCTCTTGTGCGTCGGACTGATAGGCCAAGATATCTGTATATCCACTAGACTACAGTGAGCCATAGGTGCATGGTGTTGCGGGGTTGAATGCCTCAATGACTCACTGGTCAATATTGGGGAAATATGCTTGTTGACAGCAGCAGGTATTTTGTTGGTGATCCCGGGCGGATGGTTGATCTGTTTGCTAACGTAAAGGGGGTTGTCATTTGACTTTCGGAGAGGTTGAAATTTCCCCATATCCAGGTTCATGGTGATATTCAAGAAATCCACTACTGTATTAAAGTTTGGTTCGATAGTCATTCCTAGGTCAAAGCGCTTGAAGATCTATATCTACGTTGTTTGAGAGCTAGTTGAGCTGAAAAGTGCCCACAACCTTACCGGTCTTGGCACCATCATAGCCGCCTATCGTTCCATCGAACATATAATTATTGTCCTTGTCTTATATCCAGGTATGACCGCTATCATAAAAAGGAGCAATTTTCGGCCGTGAATGATGTCCATATCTTGCTGCTTGATTGCAGTGAACTGCTGTGCAAACGATAGAGCAGAGAACAAAGGATTCGCTAACCAATCAAGGTTGAAATTCTACCACATCAAAGCATAGTAACGTGTGCTGTGCTGCTTGTCTGGTATCTCCTTAATTAGGCCACTCAATCACACAGGACATACAGGACATACAGGACATGGTGTGTCTCCATAGGTTTACTTCTGTTTGGTGACACATAGCAGCCATAATTCTCTCCAGTACCATGTAGTACTATTCTCTATATTGTTTGGACGATGAGATAATAGAAGAGTAAACTGATGGGGAGTAAGAACATGCACAACCAGCAGGTCAGTGAAACACAAAGAATTCCCGAGCCCTTGAGAGAAGCCCACCAAACGTTCTGGCCTACGGGTGATAGCCTGCATGACGTACATACGGCATGCAGTGCATACGGTCACAAGTGTACAGTGGTGTACGCATAACAGTCAGAATATTACTACATCTCCCCTTTTAAGGCGCGCTGCAAAAGAGAGAGAGAGAGAGAGAGAGAGAGAGAGAGAGAGAGAGAGAGAGAGAGATAGCAAAGCAGGAAAAAAGCTAAAGACAAAAGAGTGGCGCGAAATGGCTAATAGAATCTGTCAAGACTGTGCCATGTGAAGAGAGAAAAAGAGTCTGAGAGACATTATGCAAGTATCCTGGCAAACAATCTCAAGAAATAATAGAGTTCAGCATATCTGATGGGTGTGTGGACAGCACGTCCAGAATGGGTGATTCTACCTGAACCATTAGGAACGGACACACCCACTTCAGACTTGGCCGGCTTAATGAGTCTGTAGTGCAGTGCTCTAGCAAAGTTGTCCTTAGTGTCTTTGAGCACTATTACTTTAATGCTTCTGACTTAGCCAGTACATACATGGCAAGATTTAGACCCTCTGTGATCTTCTTTGCCTCGCTGCTGACTTCATCGTATGCTTGCTCAGGCGTGATCTTAGAGTTTTGTTGCTATTGTCTTTCATCAGCTTGCTGTATTGCTCCTTTGCTACTTACTACAGGGTTTGGGTTTTATCGGCTTTCACGATGATTTCCTGAACTGGACTTGCAATATTATGAATGGCTATATGTTAACCTTTACACACTGGCCATATTTTTGATTCTGGTTATCAGATTTCCATAACCTTGGCCTGTATAGAAAGACCCTTCACTCTGCACAGAGAACAATGAGCCCAATCTCAACACCACACTTGTCACGTATCAAATACCGCAGCACTTGGAATAATCCACCGAGCTGAATATACCAGCAAATTCCCTCGATGCCAGCCATTTCACACTCATTCATCGCAGAATGCTCCAATTGTGCAACGCTCCATTGTAGCCTATTGGCAATTGTTGCATTGGAGAGCTGCGCTGCTCTTCTTCTTTCCTGGTATTTTGATTGTGAACTTTCGTCAAGAACGGTAGAAGTTGTGAGCTTTTCAGTGCAAGCAACTACATCAACCAAAAACAGATGATTTTGTATGGTCTTGTATCAGAGGGTTAAGCTATCTTCTCCACGCCGCTTTTTTATACATTATTCCCTGCAGACGATCTTCATTGCTTGCTCTGTTGTGTGGTTTCATGTTTGTCTTTTACCCGATTTATGCAGACTGCATCTCCACTGGAAGAATCTCTGGGTGCTTCTGCAGGCATCGTTACCACTATACTCGACACTGTGAGAAGTGTGTCAACTGCCGTACGGGATCTCTCCACATCTCAGCAGCAACTAGGCACCAGGTTGGATAATCTCCAGCAGGAGGTCTCGGCTGAAGCTCGCACAACCAACGACAAGATGGATGAAATACAACTGGAAGCCCGGACTGCCTATGAACAAGTGGCACAGCTGAGCGACACAATGGCGAGAGGTAAATCATTTGCTGTCAACATTTCTGCTGAAATGATGTAAACGCTCCGATGTAGTGTCATCATAAAGCAGGGAATGTTGGTTGAAACACAAGTGGGGAAATGGCCATAAATACATGCCTGCCCACACAACCCTATCTAAAAATGGGAAATTCTGGAACCAGGGTTTCTTCTCCCTCTACAATGATCTGCTTTTAGGTTTGTCACATCGCATGTAAAGAAGTCAAAAATTGCCCGTTGGGTGATCTATCGTCGACAGAGCAAGGACCTACAGCAACATCACAAACAGGTCCCCGCTCAAGTTACCCTCCAGTATAGCCTTCCATTCACCAGCACTTGGCGCCTCCCACCCACCAGAACCACCTGTTGTGCAGACTCCCCACTGTACAAGTCCCTATAATACTATTGTAGTGACAGACTCCCCACTGTACAAGTCCCTATAATACTATTGTAGTGACAGACTCCCCACTGTACAAGTCCCTATAATACTATTGTAGTGACAGACTCCACACTGTACAAGTCCCTATAATACTATTGTAGTGACAGACTCCCCACTGTACAAGTCCCTATAATACTATTGTAGTGACAGACTCCACACTGTACAAGTCCCTATAATACTATTGTAGTGACAGACTCCCCACTGTACAAGTCCCTATAATACTATTGTAGTGACAGACTCCCCACTGTACAAGTCCCTATAATACTATTGTAGTGACAGACTCCCCACTGTACAAGTCCCTATAATACTATTGTAGTGACAGACTCCCCACTGTACAAGTCCCTATAATACTATTGTAGTGACAGACTCCCCACTGTACAAGTCCCTATAATACTATTGTAGTGACAGACTCCCCACTGTACAAGTCCCTATAATACTATTGTAGTGGCGCACGTAAAGTCACATGAGCTTATCAGTGAGTGTTTTGCGTTATTTGCTTTTTTTTGCGGGTCGTTTTGTCTCACACATAGGCGCATGCGCTTGAGTTGCAAGTGTACCGGGACCATGCATAATTATGCACATATGCACATTTAACCATGTGAACATGGTGTTTTTGTGATGTGTGTATGTCACGGGGTGGACTGCATCTAGGTTCACTTAGAAGCCCATGCGCTTATTTGTGAGGGCGCGCTTATGCCCGGCACATATAGGCACATGCGCTTATATGCGCGTCACAACGGTACGATGCCCTCCCTGCTAGCATTCGTGATTTTCCCTCCATCCCTGCTTTCAAACAAGAAATCTGCTCACTGCTGATTAACTCCGTCTGCTCCTGCAGTGCACACCCTCTCCCATACTTGCGAAATTCAAAGTGGCATACATTACTTTCCAACTGCATAACCCACAGCCCCACTCACAGCATCTCACCTTCTCATAAACTTATCTCTTATTGGCGATGGTGCCATCGTGAGAATAAAGAATTCAAAGGTGCGGTCTGTACTTAGCTGAAAAGGAGAAGATGGATCCGCACTGATGCATCCACGCTTCTAAACAAAAACAAAAAATGTCAAAATATGGACATCAGAATAAGTGAAAACTCTCGAGCACGACAATTCGCGAATAGCGACAGAATTTCCATGCCCAGAGCAAAGTCCCATCTAACTGTATTAAAAAATATGTCCGCAGATTGAGTAACTGTACTTCGGGTATCAGGACACTTCGCGAATAAGGACACTTTTCTGATGCCCCGCCAAGTGTTGTTATAACCAAAGTTGACTTTAGTCACCTGACCGCCATTGCTGAGACTTGACTTTCACCTCTCCTTCTTTTCAACTCACATGTAAATTGACACCATCCGCGTCATGTCTCACTAACTTTCATGTTAGACTAAACTAGTTGCCTGGAAATATGTTTGCAGCCAGGTGATGTAGAGGTTATCAGTTGTCTGGTGATGTGGAGGTTATCAGTGGTCTGAGATTGCCTTAGTCTTGCTATGCGCATCAAACAGAGCGTTACAACAATGATATAGCCGGTTGTCTCTGTTTTCTCTGCCTTTGTGTCCGTGTGTGTGTGTGTGTGTGTGTGTGTGTGTGTGTGTGTGCGTGCGTGCACATGTGTGCATGTGTGCGTGCACATGTGTGCATGTGTGTGTGTGTGTGTGTGTGTGTGTGTGTGTGTGTGTGTGTGTGTGTGTGTGTGTGTGTGTGTGTGTGTGTGTGTGTGTGCGTGTGTGTGTGTGTGTGTGTGTGTGTGTGTGTACTTGTGCATTGGTACATGGGTGCATACACATGTGTGTGCATGTGAGAGAGTGTTTATGTGTACCTATCTTATCATGTATATAGGTGAACAAGATACAACTGCAGCATGTGAACGCATAGTGGAAATGCAAAACCAGACCAACACAACTGTCCGCCAACTACAGGAGCAAAGTGCTACAACCTCCACAAGCATTGGACAACTACTGGAGCAAAGTGCTACAAGTACCACCAATATTGGTCAACTGCAACAGCACCAGCAAGACACTAGTGATAAGCTTTCACGTGTCTCAGCAGCTGTTACCACCATTCAACAAGGTGAGTACATTTTTTCCAAGGTCTACAGTAAAACCTATAACTAAAGACCAGTGTGACTAGTGACCAGTCTATCCCTACTGACCAGTGTGACTAGTGACCAGTCTATCCCTACTGACCAGTGTGACTAGAGACCAGTCTATCCCTACTGACCAGTGTGACTAGTGACCAGTCTACCCCTACTGACCAGTGTGACTAGTGACCAGTCTACCCCTACTGACCAGTGTGACTAGTGACCAGTCTATCCCTACTGACCAGTGTGACTAGTGACCAGTCTACCCCTACTGACCAGTGTGACTAGTGACCAGTCTATCCCTACTGACCAGTGTGACTAGTTACCAGTCTACCCCTACTGACCAGTGTGACTAGTGACCAGTCTACCCCTACTGACCAGTGTGACTAGTGACCAGTCTATCCCTACTGACCAGTGTGACTAGTGACCAGTCTACCCCTACTGACCAGTGTGACTAGTGACCAGTCTACCCCTACTGACCAGTGTGACTAGTGACCAGTCTATCCCTACTGACCAGTGTGACTAGTGACCAGTCTACCCCTACTGACCAGTGTGACTAGTGACCAGTCTATCCCTACTGACCAGTGTGACTAGTTACCAGTCTACCCCTACTGACCAGTGTGACTAGTGACCAGTCTACCCCTACTGACCAGTGTGACTAGTGACCAGTCTATCCCTACTGACCAGTGTGACTAGTGACCAGTCTACCCCTACTGACCAGTGTGACTAGTGACCAGTCTACCCCTACTGACCAGTGTGACTAGTGACCAGTCTATCCCTACTGACCAGTGTGACTAGTGACCAGTCTACCCCTACTGACCAGTGTGACTAGTGACCAGTCTATCCCTACTGACCAGTGTGACTAGTGACCAGTCTACCACTACTGACCAGTGTGACTAGTTACCAGTCTATCCCTACTGACCAGTGTGACTAGTGACCAGTCTATCCCTACTGACCAGTGTGACTAGTGACCAGTCTATCCCTACTGACCAGTGTGACTAGTGACCAGTCTATCCCTACTGACCAGTGTGACTAGAGACCAGTCTATCCCTACTGACCAGTGTGACTAGTGACCAGTCTACCCCTACTGACCAGTGTGACTAGTGACCAGTCTATCCCTACTGACCAGTGTGACTAGTGACCAGTCTACCCCTACTGACCAGTGTGACTAGTGACCAGTCTACCCTTACTGACCACTGAGGTAGAATAAGGACACTTTTTCTGGTGCCGCTGTACTTCAAGATCAGCGCTGCAACTCGCCATGGTCATAATGCGGCTGACGTCACGTTGCCAAGGAAAACATGGCGTTTGGCCGTGTTCGCCGCACTTGAGCGCTCTGCCTTTTTCAAAATCTTATTTTGAAGAAAACCTCCAGTCTTTTTCAGCACTTGGATTGGAGGCCAGTCACATCGCCATCTGTACGAGGATCTTTATCACGGCCATTGTCTTTTGTCGTTTTGAGCTCGAATAGCTTTCTCTGATGAAGTATTCAGATATCATGAAGTTCTCTTTTATCGTGGGCATGAAGCTCCCCACTCGCAGCGGGGATGACATCGGACGGAATACCGTAAAAGCCTCTGTATAACCCCATTCACCAAGGCATATGGCCGATTAGTTTGCAGGCCTGCCTGCGAATCATGAGGTCCCGAGTTAGGTCCCGAGTTCAAGACCCGCGCTGGTAGCAGGGAGCGTGTAAAAAGACTTTTACGCGTGTTGAACTGCGCCGACACCCACGGTCAACTGGGTACTCACAGCTCGGAGTGAGAAAAAACAAAGATTCAGTTTACAGGGTCATGGGCCGTTACACGCCCGATTTGTTGAGAGACTAACCTCCTCTCCCCTGACTCACTTGTGATGTCTGCATTCGCCACTAAGGTTAATAGGCATAGTGGTGGCCTGCGGATGCGAAGGCTAGTTTGTGTGTTTCTGAACGAACATTCAAGCGATGCCGACGCTGATCCCGCGAATATTATAACCCCACTCGAAGTTACGCCCACCCTCCGTGTACACGCCTAGTCAGGGGAAGTCAAAAGTTTTGTTTCAAAATAGCGCCCATGCCCATGTATACGCCGAGGTATGCCGGAAACACCAGTACATGTACAGGTACTGATACCCAATACTTACTGCTATCCCTATTCCAAGTATACGGCTGGTTCCAAAATAACGCCAGTGCCCTTGTATACGCCCAGGAAATCGAGGCTGCTATTCTATACGCCCAGGGCCGATACACGGGCTTTTACGGCAAATGTGTTGAGTCGCGAGCAGGAGTTCTGCTGACCTAAGTGATTAGCTGGGCGTGACCTGGGTCACGTGAGGACTCCAGTTCTAGTTGGGCAATACCCCACGCACACATCTACTGTGTTCTGATCTAGCTCAAAGCGCGGAGTCGATTGAGAAAAATGACCAAGATCATAAAGAAGGCTTGTTTGCTTCCAAAAAATGTTTTAGTAGCTCAGTCCATGCACTGAAAACTGCACTTGCCTTGTTTCTGTACAGTAGATCTACGTACAGAGTGCACTTGCAAGGCACAACTACACAAGCACAGTAGCTCGTACAGACTCAGTTGTGACCAGCAATTGCGTGTGGGAGTCAAGTGCCCTACTCAAGTGCATGCATGTTCGGCTCTCATGCATGGTAGATCTACAGTGCATCTGTTGTGATGCACTACATGTACAGCACAGCATGCACTACATGTACAGCACAGCATACACTACATGTACAGCACAGCATGCACTACATGTACAGCACAGAATGCACTACATGTACAGCACAGCATACACTACATGTACAGCACAGCATGCACTACATGTACAGCACAGCATGCACTGCATGTACAGCACAGCATGCACTACATGTACAGCACAGCATACACTACATGTACAGCACAGCATACACTACATGTACAGCACAGAATGCACTACATGTACAGCACAGCATACACTACATGTACAGCACAGCATGCACTACATGTACAGCACAGCATGCACTACATGTACAGCACAGCATGCACTACATGTACAGCACAGCATACACTACATGTACAGCACAGCATGCACTACATGTACAGCACAGCATGCACTACATGTACAGCATAGCATGCACTACATGTACAGCACAGCATACACTACATGTACAGCACAGCATGCACTACATGTACAGCACAGCATACACTACATGTACAGCACAGCATACACTACATGTACAGCACAGCATGCACTACATGTACAGCACAGCATACACTACATGTACAGCACAGCATGCACTACATGTACAGCACAGCATGCACTACATGTACAGCACAGCATGCACTACATGTACAGCACAGCATGCACTACATGTACAGCACAGCATGCACTACATGTACAGCACAGCATACACTACATGTACAGCACAGCATGCACTACATGTACAGCACAGCATGCACTACATGTACAGCACAGCATGCACTACATGTACAGCACAGCATACACTACATGTACAGCACAGCATACACTACATGTACAGCACAGCATACACTACATGTACAGCACAGCATGCACTACATGTACAGCACAGCATGCACTACATGTACAGCACAGCATGCACTACATGTACAGCACAGCATGCACTACATGTACAGCACAGCATGCACTACATGTACAGCACAGCATGCACTACATGTACAGCATAGCATGCACTACATGTACAGCACAGCATGCACTACATGTACAGCACAGCATACACTACATGTACAGCACAGCATGCACTACATGTACAGCACAGCATGCACTACATGTACAGCACAGCATGCACTACATGTACAGCACAGCATACACTACATGTACAGCACAGCATACACTACATGTACAGCACAGCATACACTACATGTACAGCACAGCATGCACTACATGTACAGCACAGCATGCACTACATGTACAGCACAGCATACACTACATGTACAGCACAGCATACACTACATGTACAGCACAGCATGCACTACATGTACAGCACAGCATGCACTACATGTACAGCACAGCATGCACTACATGTACAGCACAGCATGCACTACATGTACAGCACAGCATGCACTACATGTACAGCACAGCATGCACTACATGTACAGCACAGCATGCACTACATGTACAGCACAGCATACACTACATGTACAGCACAGCATGCACTACATGTACAGCACAGCATACACTACATGTACAGCACAGCATGCACTACATGTACAGCACAGCATGCACTACATGTACAGCACAGCATGCACTACATGTACAGCACAGCATGCACTACATGTACAGCACAGCATGCACTACATGTACAGCACAGCATACACTACATGTACAGCACAGCATACACTACATGTACAGCACAGCATGCACTACATGTACAGCACAGCATACACTACATGTACAGCACAGCATACACTACATGTACAGCACAGCATACACTACATGTACAGCACAGCATACACTACATGTACAGCACAGCATGCACTACATGTACAGCATAGCATGCACTACATGTACAGCACAGCATACACTACATGTACAGCACAGCATACACTACATGTACAGCACAGCATGCACTACATGTACAGCACAGCATGCACTACATGTACAGCACAGCATGCACTACATGTACAGCACAGCATGCACTACATGTACAGCACAGCATGCACTACATGTACAGCACAGCATGCACTACATGTACAGCACAGCATACACTACATGTACAGCACAGCATACACTACATGTACAGCACAGCATGCACTACATGTACAGCACAGCATGCACTACATGTACAGCACAGCATGCACTACATGTACAGCACAGCATGCACTACATGTACAGCACAGCATACACTACATGTACAGCACAGCATGCACTACATGTACAGCACAGCATGCACTACATGTACAGCACAGCATGCACTACATGTACAGCACAGCATGCACTACATGTACAGCACAGCATACACTACATGTACAGCACAGCATACACTA